GAGAGAGAGAGAGAGATGCAGAGCGTGACAGAGCAGGAGACGCGAGGAACAGTATTAAGAACCGCTGCTTTAGAACACTGATTTTGAAACTTGTGAATCCATTAGAATCGTTAGAAGACAGAATCATGATTCATATATGAATAGATTTTTACGCACCCCTAGTTTTCTCTTCCTCTTCTTTAAAGCAGTGCAGCATGGCCCCGCCCCCTTTGCTGCCTTTTCCCGGGGGCGGGGTTTATCTGGGTTTGTGATGTCATGAACCCAGGAAGTAACTCGTTGTAGTCCCTACCAGTCGTTTTTGTAGGCATTAAACTGCCAGAATTTTAAAAGACGATATCTCCGTTTGCATTGAACTTTCAGCTTTGTAACTTTGCAGATATAGTTTATGCTCAAACAGCAACATTACACACTAACTAACCTTAAAAAAGTGAAATTGCAATCAGCCACCCCTTTAAAAGTATTTCTACAGCGACTGATTTGTGGCACATGAAGCCTGTGAACTGTGAATCACCGCTTCTAACTCTACAGCGGTTTGCACTGCAATCATTTCTCATTCACTAGAATACCATCAGATGGCTCGTCTGTCCTGTGCGCATGGTGTTGTTTTGTGATGAAACGCTGCTTACGGGTGATCGAGAGCTCAAGCGCTTAACGGGTGTCACAGCATGTTCTTCAGAGTCAGACTTCACTACAGCAGGCTCTTCAGATGATACGGCCCTCAAACCTCCAGAGAGCCCACTAATGCACTGGCTTTCACACTTTTTAGAGAGTGACCCTATTATTTTTTTTAATTGACCCAACCCATGCATACATCCGTTTACATGCATCAAGTCAAGTGTGTGTGAGTGTGTGTGTGTGATGATCAATGTTTACATGCCAATAAAAGCATAAATTAAATATGTTGATCATAGCAATTCATATGCATTTTAAGCTTGAAAATTTTGATTGCATGGACTTTCAATGAAAGGACAGAAATAATTTTGGCTTCAATAAAAAAAAATAATTAAAAAAATCAAAGTCTTGTGGTTTTGGCACGACATGAGGGAGAGTAAATAGCTGCTTTTCCACTGTGGGGCCAGCGCTACTTTAAAACACACCTCTGTGAAGAAACCGTCACACAACCCCAGCATTTCACCAGCGAGGGGAAACTAACAAACCTATATCGTTAAAAAAGAAATGGACGTTTGGCCCTTACATAAAGACTTATGGCTTCAGCATCAATATTTTTATATACCGATGATTTACGATAAAAATAGTCATTCATTAAGTTGTGTCAACATGCTAAATCAAACAGATAGTTATAATTATTTCACATAAAGAGAGAACACACATACGCTACGTGCTCCGCACAAAACAACTCCATTAGGGCTTTTTAGTCCAAATGCGTACATATATAACACAACAGAACCCATCTCACGGTTATCCCTTCAGCCAAAGCAGCAGAGGGAGATCACAGACTGAAAATCTGAGGTATATGATTTACACGGAGCATATGCAATTTATGACATATGCAGGTGCAGAAGTCCGGTATAAACAAAGACACGCTGAGCAGACAGAACAAATATGAAACCAATACATGATTATAATCATATATGATTTATCCGAGTTCTTCAATCGGTCTCTGGTATTTTCAGAAGCATACCGTGCTTTTATTATCGCGATTGTTAGCATAGGCTATGCAGCCTTTAGCATCACATATAACACATTTCTGTGTCATGCGGTGATCAGAATTCAGTAAGTTCATTCAGACACTCGCTGAGTTTTGCCATTAAAATAGTTTTAAATGTTGATGCTAGTTGATAGCTTGTTATGAAATCATTTGAAATAAGCAGCGGTGGCGCCGTCTCTATCTCAGATAAACTCATAGCCACTCCTCCAGCCCCCAGGGGCCCGCTGAGGCCCCATCAAGAGACCGTGGAAACACACTAGCACGCCCGCTTCTACTGATGACCGCAGGCTCATTTCTGGCTGATCTACCGCTTCACAGCTGGTTTAAGGAAGTAAGTGAATGATTCAGAAACAGCAGCATGACCTCAGACTGTAAGAATGTAAGCAGTGAGGAAGCTCTTCATCATCAGTGCACTGCTTTCTTCAGAGCAGGCCGATGCTGTCTGACAGCCTGTTATCCACAACAGCTATCTGGCTTTTTATTCAGTATTGTGCAAAACAAAATCTCTCAATCTTTGGCAGAGGGATCAACAAATGAGCTGTTAAGAGTCAAGGCTGAATGTCTGCCGGTCACACAGGACTGAAACGGTGTAATAATGTGATGCACAGATCCAGAGCTGAGCTCGTTCATATCTGTGTGAAGCCGGTTTATAATCAAGCTGCTTTTTTGTCGCATTGAGTGTCTCTGCGCATGCGCAGCAGATCACACCCATCAGCAGAGCTCAATCTCTCCGATAAACCGCTCGACTTCAGTAGAAATGACTATTCTGCTGTAAAACTATAACGGAGTAGTCTCGACGCTGCAGTAAAGCTCGTTGTGAATGTAGTAAGACTCAATCGACACCGACCTTGTACACTTGTCCGTAGGTGCCATTGCCCACCACTTCCACCAGCTCAAAAATACCAGCAGGGTCCTGCAATCACACAAAGAGCATCGCACAGGTTAATAAGCGACGCGACGCGAGCCCCGCGGACACGCTCGGAGACACGCTCACCCGCAGAGAGGCGAGGTCGATGTCCACCAGGCTCTTCGCCGGAGAGTCGTTCGCCATCTTCTCCGAGTGCTCGAGTCTGAAGCGATGCCGCGTGTGTTCCGTGCGCTTCAGACGCCGCTGAGCATCGCTGTATCGCGCGTGCGGTCAGGCCTGCAGCTCGCTCTATTGTTCGCGATGACGATGAGGATGATGAAGCGCAGCGGAGTCTGGGTCAGTGCATGGCGGAGGAGTGGGCAGAGACAGCCGAGGGGAGGGACGAGGGAGGACCGTGCACACTCAGCTAGATATGTGTGTGCATCTAGTTCTGAAACAGGAGCATAGATAGATAGAATTGAACATTGTTTTAAATAAATACATCACAGTAATGCATTTACTGTAATGCAAAAAAATCCTTAAATAAGTAGGACATCATATCATCTTATATTGCTGTTAATTTATACTGATTTCAATAAAATCCATTTAGAAATATACAAGATGAATCTCATTAATATACATTATTGTTGCAGTCCTTGATGCTGATTGGTCAATAACTGTGTGTTTATTCACAATACAGCATGGCTATGACCCTTCACCGAACATATCAACAACAAGCAACAAACAATAATCTGTAAAGCCGTTACATTACGATTTTCAGCAAAAGTAGCTGGCTGTTAAGTGCATACTTAAGCCAATCGGGATACTATGGGCCAGATTTACTATCAGCTTGCGCCAGCGCAAACCCTCATTTGGCTTTAAAGGGCTTGAATTTGTTTTGGGGGTGTACTAGAACATGCTCTCATGCTTGGCGGTTCGAAAAACGCATTGTTTTTTTACATAATTTACATTAGTACAATACCTTTCTCCCCCTGTTGAAAAAACCAGCATATGCTGGTTAGGTATGTTTTGATGCTGGGATTATGCTGGTCCTTTGCTGGTTTAAACTGGTCCTTTGCTGGTTTATGCTGGTCTTTTTTCGTAATTGTAACATACATATTTACATACATAATTATTCAGGTGCATGTGTAATAACTTGTGAAAACTTGAGGCTACAGCAGCACTTCTTCTTCGTCGTGGTCTTGTCTGATGCACCACGAGCTCGCCCCTCCCCACCCTGTAGGCGGGAATTATGTTAATGATATTCTAATGGGCTTTGTGACATCACAAAACCCCGGAAAACAACGCTGTAGTCCAGACGAGCCGTTCGTTGTAGTTCTTGAAAAGGGATTCTTAAAAAATGAAATATCTCCCTTTGGAGTGGACTTTGAGATTTGTAAGTTTGAAGATCTTTTTCATGCCCAAACATACACACTGACTAAAATTCAAAAAGTGAAAAAGCATAATAGGACCCCTTTAAAGAACTACTGTCAGGATTTACTAAAGAAACGCGTGGGAAATTAGCACTGAAAAGGCCTGAACACAGTTATTTTTGCGACTCTATGGCAAGCCATTTTATCTTAAAATAATCCCAGTGTTACTCGTCGTAATTGCATTTTTACTAGTAACAATTGAATTAGAGAGCTCTCTAACTGGCATTGTTACTAGTAAGAATTGAATTAGAGAGCTCTCTAACTGGCATTGTTACTAGTAAGAATTGAATTAGAGAGCTCTCTAACTGGCATTGTTACTAGTAAGAATTGAATTAGAGAGCTCTCTAATTCAATTCTTACTAGTAACAATTATGATTAGAGAGCTCTACAAATGAATTTTTACTAGTCATATATTTCCATTGACTTCCATTCATTTTTAGTTAGAGAACTCTACAATTGAAATTGTACTAGTAAGTATTACAATTAGAGAGCTCTACATTTGTAATCCTTACTAGTAAGAATTGAATTATAGACCTCTCTAATTAATTGTTACTAGTAAGAATGCATTTTCAGAGCTCTCTAATTGTATTTATAACTAGTTAAAATAGATTTAGAGAGCTCTCTAACTGGCATTGTTACTAGTAAGAATTTAATTGTAGAGCTCTCTAATTGAATTGTTACTAGTAAAAATGCAATTACGACGAGTAACGCTTGGAATATTTTAAGCTAAAACGGCTTGCCATACATACGACACACCTTACTGAATATGCGTTTGTAGGAGTTTCTTTGTCGATCGGTAAATTTATGGGAGGAGACTATTTAAATTAGTCATGCAATGCTAAGATTTGCGCTAATCAATTCACTGGTATTTGCGGCATTATTTAGTGCATCTTAAAGCAGGCGGTAATTTGCGCTGCTCTTGGTGGATTGCGCTGGTCATTAAAATGTGTTCTTTAATGTGCGCATCGTCATTAAATCACCTGCAGAATTTCCCCTCCCATTGCGCTCTAACGCTAATTAGTTAATCTGGCCCTATGTCATTTTTTAGACTAAATAATGTTTACAGTGTGTGACGGTAAACATTCACCATGAAACATGCACTTTAGATGCCAGGATAATGCTTAATTAACCAAAACAAAAAACACTTCAAGCATGTAACTGTCGCAGCTTTAATTAGATGCTGTAGGGGGAGGAGCTATCAGAGTGATGATGAATAATGAAATAATACTGTCATTCATACACTAGACCAGGGGTCGGCAAACTTCTGAGCATGAAGTGACATTTTTAATGCTTCTAGTTAACCACTGTGCCAGTAAGCCCCTTCCCCACACCCCACCTCACCTCCACCTTTTTAAATGCATGCAGCACATATAGAGCAGGCCTTTTCAAATGATGGGCCAAATCCAGCCCTCGGATGAGCAGTAACACCCCGGCCCTGGGGACAGATTCACCTTTCTGCCATAGCGTTGGCCTTTTTAAAACGCAATTCAATATTTTAATCTTTGCAAAACCTTTCAAATGACAACTGAAAATCTGTTAAAGAATGTAATAGAAAAGGAAAACAACCTCACACTGTAAATTCCAATTAGTAAACCTTACTTAAAAAAAGCATGCAAACCTATTGCCTTGAAAAAAAACAAGTAAAGTGAAATAAGAATAATTTGTAATAACAAAGGTTTATTTAGTGTTGTAAACTTACACGCAAGTTCTGGTAACTCAGAATCACTATTTTCAACAACTAAATGAATAAGTACAATATACTATGTGCGTATTTCAAACAACTCTTTTATCATTAGTCATTTCTTTATTTGTTCTTATTTTATTATTAACTGCTTAGCCTCCTTGTCATTTTTTATTCAAGTTTTAAATCAAGCTATCTCGTGCTACTGCACCAAAATTACCCCACTGTAAAATAAAAAAACACTGAGTGAGCAAAACTTTGTGAGATAGCTAGTTATAATGGTAATTAAATAATGTTTACATATGAATAAAAGCCTACATTAAAACCTGTCATATAAATTGGTCTCTTCATTAGAAATTAGCCTACTGATAGCCACCACTGATGGACAAGTTTTTTTATAATATTAAAAATATCTGTATGACATTATATTCTGCAGTTCTTCCCTGTTGTACCGAATATCTATACTTTTCAAATTATCACATCGAAGTTAGAAATTCAAATATTGTGACAAAATTAATTTTGTAGGGTGCCACAAGTTTGTTACAATTTCCAAAGGGTGCCGCGACTAAAGAAAGGTTGGGAAACACTGTTAGCTAACACCGCTGACAAGGTTAGTCTGTTAAAATTAGCAGCACACTGAAAGATGCATTGACACAATTATTTTTTGAAGCTTACCTTATTATTACTGTATAGAAGCAATCAGTCTTTGTCCAGTGGTAAAAATGCAAGCAGTCTCAGCAAATTCGGCGCACAAATTAAAAAAAACCGTTGCTTGTTGCGCATGCTCTCTAACCTTCCGTATTTCTTCTTCTGTTGTTTTGTCGCACATTAGCGCACTGCTGCCTCCCACTGGTGTATTAATGTCATCGGTTTTGTTGTGGCTACTTGAATATTTTAAGTAAGAGTTACTCATTGCAGTAAGTTGTTTTATTCGCCTTAAAATTAGCTGTTACTTAATAAAACCGAGTAAGTATAACAACTAAGTAAAGATAACTAATTATATCTAAGTAAGGTAAACTATTGGATTTTACAGTGCAGTTTTAGTTGTTCATCAGAGAAAACATCTTTAAAAGCTTGGAACGGTTAATAACTGCTTAATTTCTTTCTGATCATTTTTAATGAAATCAGAAAAGACAAAATAAATGTTACTGTAAACTTCACAAATGTAGACCGCTTCCTCTCGTTTGACTGTTGTTCGGTGGGACTCTAATGAAGCTGTTTATGTGGTGGTCAGCGATGTAGAGTTAAAACAACATTCATCCACATTTTAGTAATTTTGTCAAAGATTATATGCCTATTAAAAGATTATAACAAAGTGTAAACATGATGTAAAAGAGATTAATTGTGTAGAAATAATTGATTTTAATTATAAAGGAACGTCGTAAGTGACAGTTAGATAGTACCTAATTATAAATGGAGCGTTCTTTGTGCCATAACTATATATGGAATAAAAATATATGTCAAAATAGATTTCGTATATTTATTTATTCATACATATGACATGTCTCCACCACTTTTTGAAAGCCTTTGAAAAAATATAGCATGCAGAAGACTCATAAGGCAAAGTAAAAGCATCTCCAATCCGTCTCCAGTCATTCGTCATAATTTAATTCATTCATGCACCATAAAATACATTGCAGCAGATTCATAAACAGTAAACGGCATAATTATGTGCCCAGTGCATGGACCGCACACACTCTATTGTGTAGCGATGAAGTAAACAATCCTTTATATTTACACATTTAGATTAAATATACCACCCTCATGAATTAAGTTAAGCACACAAATTACATTATATATTATCAAGAAGGTAAAAATCTATAGCCTACACTGTTAGACATTTCAAAGGGTTTTTACAGTAACTTACAGTTATTACAGTTATACAATTACAGTTACTGTAATTAAGATTTACAGTAGCAAACTGTACCGTTTTACAGTAAATTACTATAAAAAATCCAACTCATCTGTATACTACTGTAGTTCATTTATTTTACTATAGATTTCATTTGATTTTATATTTTTATATATAGAATTCATTTTATTTTTATCCTACATACTGTATGTACTACTGGCATTCAATTAAAACAGACAAAACATTACAAAATATCAAATTCTTTATTTAAAACATTGAATGTATAACACTTAAAAATACAGTCTTCCAATGCTGGAACAGTTCATCTTCACCATTCCTCCTGTCTTAAGACATTTTGCAGTGCTTTATGTTGTATTCTCTGGATTTATCCTCACAACGAATCTTTAGGCAAGAGAAACATAATGGGAAAAGAAATACATAGCCGTCTGCAAAACCCAGGTGCTGCTCCAAAACGTGGCCACCACC